CTGTAATTGTGGAAGTAGACAAACCAATTAAATAGAAAGTTTAATTAAAGTTAAAACCTGTTGTCGAGCTGTGCTGCGTTTGGTCGTGTTTTAACTGTTGGCGCGCACTTACCTTGAATCGTGTGGATGTTTTCCGGGAAAACTCAGAGTTTAACATCACCTGGCATCAACTTCAAGCATCCATCTAGTTTTTGACACCGTTCTACGTATAAAAGATGCCATAATAAAGTGTCATAGCTTGTAGTGAGCTCACACAATAATGATATTTGTTATGTTGTGACAGGTTCTTTTTAAGTGGCACTTTCGTGAAGGTCGCGTACTACGTCCGCCGTGCCTCTTACTGCTGCCAGCCAAACTTTAGTTGTGCTGTTATAATTTGCTGAACAAAGTTGTTTTAGTTATTGATGTGTGGACACACGATGAAACGACACAAATTGGGGATATTTTCGTGATAAATTACATCTCCAGCCTATTTAATTAGGGGGAGAAACTGTCACTGGGGAAGAAACGGTTATAAGGCAACATTAGGCAATTCAAATTCAATAAGACGCAGATATTTTGCAAGAGAACGGTTAGATTCAGGATCTGTTATCCTTTCATCTGTTGTTTTGGTAGCCACCTGTCTACACACAAACAGCGTAACAAATCATTTGCGAGGTTCGAATTACACCCTTACATATTCCGGATAAATATATGTTTATCATCGATTGTGTCATGTCCTATGCTATATTATGTTAGATTTTAATTCCGATGTTTTAAACTGAATTTCGTCACTGCTTAATGCTTATTTATATTTTTATAGCCGTGGTGATGTTGCATAATTGCTTTTAACTTTTCGAGACTATTTTCATGATCAGTGGCCTTAAAAGCTTCTTAGTTATTGGTGATTACTGGTAATTTATATTTGGTAACATGGCGCAATCAATATAATTCAACTAAATACTGATTGGCAGCCACTTGTGTCATTCAATTTCATAATTCCGCAATAATCAGCCTTTTTATATTTAAAGCTTTGATTTTGATAAGTCCTGACGTGAATATGCTTTTAAACATCACGCATTTCCAAAACAAATCGTCATTCCAACCATTTCTTTAGTTCATAAGTTCCTACTATAGTACTGTGCAATGCATGCCAAAATTAATACGGTGCTGTAAAATTATGCGATATGTACGGAAGCAATATTATATTAAGATTATTAATTAATAATAATATTATTATTGATATATTAATGATATTAGCGTCTTCGAGTGTCAAGGTGTTACTATTTGTTTCGATCTTTATACTTTACTACGAACTGTTGCAAAATAGTCTTTTTTATTTAGTTAGGTGTAACTTTTAAAAATATCGAAATTTTATCGTCCCGGAATTTTGCGGGTCTTATTCTAATTTTTTTGAGATTTGCTGGTCCCCCTCAATAATTTGTCCAGACTTTTGGAAATTGACTTTATGTTTGGACTGATTTAAGATGTTAAGCTTGGTCATGGAAATTGTTTGCATTGTTGTACATGTGGTAAATCGAGGTTTGCAGTTAATTTCTTGGTTTCATTTGTTCACGTTATCAACGGTAACCCTATTTAGGTTGAAAGGAAATGGCCGCGGTTAATCGGGTATTACTGAATAACGTTCCAACCAAGACGCTAGTCTTTTTATCATTCAACAAAGCTAATCCAGTACAGTATAGTGCTAAACATGCTACCCAAACTTAGTATCACTTTAACAATTGTAACAAATGAACGTTGGCTTGCGGTAACTCAACTTTAAACATAAGGTTTTAAACTCCTATTCCCTTCCAATGTCCACCCTAACTTGAAGGAAACTTAATTAAGTATTCTAAGAATGTTATTTTCACACGAAAGCCACTGAATTGTAGCATTTATTAATGAATTTTGTGTTTAACAGATTTCGTGTCGCACTAATTTTGTTTAGCCAGCACATTTAGGCCGAGTCTAACACAACATATAATCCACTTATTTCGTCTAATTAAAGCTAATAATATTTTAATTAGGAACGCACTACCTGGCAAGTTAGCGAAGCAAATAATTTATGTGGGCTCTTTAGCGCTCTAGCAGTTTGCTAAGAATAGTTGATCGCTAATTTCGGTTAAAAATGATAATTTTTGTTGTTAAAAATTGCTACAAAATTACTGTACTGTCTTCGTTTTTGCTGTCTTCTTTTTAGCTGCATTCTCCTCGTATCGTGTTTTTAAGGACGTATATTCAGTCCACAGTTAACCTAAGCTGTCAGTCCTGATTGATAACTTCTTTTGTAGTACACACTTCTTGTGCTCTTAATGACCAATTAATTTGCTCTTAATTTGTTTGTAATTTGATCTTACTCTTAATCTCTTAATTTACTGTTCTAAAATTCGGTGTTTATTTGGTCACAGACTTTCCCTAGAATTATTTAATCGCACAAAGTAACGTTAGCAGGTTAGCGTAGAACCCATGACACCTTGCATGATTCAAGAGTTAGTAAAGACCAGCTTTAGTAACTCCCATTATCGTAATACTTAACTGTAGTTCCCAAGAGAAATTTATATTACAATTTTAAAACTATTTTTACTTACTTTTGTTTAACTTATGCCTTAATTATAATATTTACTACTATGGTAACAACTGTTTAGATATGTAGCTACCTTATGTAACATTATTATGATATCACTGCACTGTACTTCGATGGACTATATTTTGTTATTTTTGGTTGAACCGAGAAACGGTCGAACAGTTAAAAATCCGCCGAATTGATATCATTTTTGGAGCCAAACGATTTTAAAATCTTCAAATCTAGTAATAGATTTCAATACGGCAGCCTTGAAGTGTTTGGGACCAAAACTTTTGGTCTCAATTAGAAATGGAATAATATTATATGGTCACTGTAATGGCGACGGATAATTTCTGGGTTGAACTTTAAAATAACATAATTTCTTTACATAGACAACCTTCGGTCCGGTGAAATAATGTAACTTATAGCTCATATCAGATGCTATCAACCCTGAGATTTCTCTGCGTTTCGACCATTTTCTTACGTACAACGGATAATAATCTTGTTCGTTTTACCTCATTTTCACTACTCTATATATTTTGTTGATATCCAATCTAATCTTCCCTTTCTTCCTCTGATTTTGCTGTTATTTTTGTGAGGAAATATGAACGAGTTTTTCTTTTTGACCATAATATACGGAAATCAACTCAAGGTGTGCAAACACTTAAGTTAAACCAATTAGTACGACCAAGTTTGGTTGAACATTTTTGATGACTCATGAGCCAGAAACATTTGTAAAATATGGAACTATAAATTCTATCTTTACTCTTTATTCACAGCTAAAAACCTTGTGCTCGTGACCATTTTTGTAGTCTACGGTAAATTTACCTGCTTTGTCGGCAAAGGAGCGCCGATGGATAGCATTTTGCCAAGAATGTTCAAACGCAACTTTTGTTTCCATGTTCCACGGCACTCCTAACAATTTCGCTGGAATGTGGGAAGCATCTCGTTAATAATGTGTCATTGAGTCCCCTGCAACCTCGTCATTCCACCAAAATTGTCATGTCTGTTCACTGTTCAGAGTTTCTTTAGAACTCTTCAGAACTGCAGCTCAGTGCGCGCACGTGCAACGAAAGGCTCATGGTTATGTTTCACGTACACATTTCTCTCTATATCCTCCACATCTAATACCCTGATATTAGTACCCCAATATACACACCCCACTACTAGCAGCTGATAGGATAAGCGTGTATGTAACTCCGGAATGTAGCCCACTACACCCAGTCCTTTATAAGATACACACGCTGTATATATTCTATATTGTAGTGGGGATGTGTATGTTTGCGATAATTGTTACTTGTCAACGTTAAAGTCATGTCAACACAACACCGCTGCTAAGAGAGAGGGAGAGAGAGAGAGGGAGAGAGAGAGAGATAGCTGCATCGTACTATTCCACTATTCCCTCTACTCCAATCCGACTTCTGATATGAGCTGCTCTCACTGAATGCCTCCGTTTTTCTCAATCCGGAATGCGCGCATTTCATGTCACACTTTGTCTGCTCCTTTGCTCATGTCTACCTTGATAAGGCAGGGTTGCTATGGTATCAGTTTAAGTAGCCACCTTGTATTGAACAGGATCTTTGTAATTGGGACGCGCACACCACGTGCTCTTATATTGTCGTCATACAGTGCACGTTTCAAGCTGCTGGTCCTGACGTGTCGACTTTTCCGAGGAACGTATTACTTGGACCACCGTCATTTACATTTGCAGCCGTAGCGATATTCTTGATACAGGATATATATCCCTACTTGTACTGCAGCTGCGAGCTCTCTGGTATGCCAGATATTTTATCCCTTTTTGGGCAATGTTATTCGAAGTGTGATTCTATGACGATTTGATTTCGGAGTATCCAACGTTTCCGACCACCCTTCCTTGTTCACAAATTGTCTGTGATACAAATATCTCCTGCCTGGTGATTGCTATCCACACACATATTATCTCCACAGAAAGACACGGGTGGAGGCTTAGACTACGTTATCAACATTATACTGAGACCAGACTCATTACACCTTTGTAATGTTCAGGCAGATTAAATCAGATATAGTTGGCGTAGTATCTTTAAACTCTTATTCAAAGTTAAACTTTTTACTTTTATCCCTGAGTTTGGTTAAGAACCGCCATGACAGTCTCGTGTATTTTCCCACGAGAAGTAGTGCAGTGGATGACGGCTCATCTCCACACTTTGGTTTAACGTTTAACTTGTACCACTTACTTTGACTAATGCTGCTTACCACTTTTATTACTCTTCTTTTGTTGCTTCACCATATTGTTTACTGTTGTAACGGGGCGGTATGTTTTCAGTTGCGGAACATTTGAACTTTTTCCTAAACTTATTTTAAACCTTTCCTAAGTTTTCCTAAAATTATTATGATAAACTGAAGGGGTTTTCAAACTATCAAACCCTCTAAAACCTAAAGAAACTAGGGCTGCCGAAAAGAATCTTATTCTCTCCTGTCTAGGTCTGCGTAGCAGAGAATGTACCGATATGATGTGCTATTAGTCGACATACGATTAAAAGTTTAACTGCCTCCCCACAATGTCAGGTAGTGTTATTAGTGTGTCATTTTTGGGTGATATTTTTTTGGGATTTTTGGTTTCTTGATTCTTCTGGGTGTGAATTTTATGCGTGATTTCTCATTGGATTTCTGAGTGTGGCGCTTATTGGATTATAGTTGAGTGTGGTGTTCGGAATTTCTGGGAGTGCTATCTGTCATGAAGCACGTCAGAGTTGAGAGTTTTTGTGAGTGAAATACGACTCCGATGACAGTTGAAAGCTAGGCAGCTTGGACGAGTCATGTGGTGTGAATACTGAAAAATACCTCAAGCCCTATTAAGTGTGAAATGTACCTGAACCTAAGCTAGAAACTGTTTAAACCTAACGTTTGTTGAGTTCCTCGGTAAAGTGCGATTATGCATGTCTTTGTTTCAAACGTTGAAACTAATTATAGTCTAGTTATAGTCTAGTTATAAACTGCACTTATCGTTTATCATTTAGTTAAGACTTTGGTGTGGTATTGGGTGTTTCAAGATTCTTCTCGTGTTTTAAGTTTAACCACTGTTTATGTTTCAGAAATCACGGATATAAGTCGAGAACCATTCGAAAGTCATTATGTGATACAGAAAGAATTGGGCAGGTATGCAATTTCTGTAGATTTTTTGGCTAGAAATTTTGCTGCTTCCTTTTCAATTTTTAAAGGCGGCTTCAATTGCCTAGAATTTCGAGTGTCAACAGTACTTAAAAGGCTTTCTAAATTATGGGCTTTGTTTTAAATCTTTTTGCGAGATTTTGACAGCGTCAAAGAAAATGCTGTAACTTTATGGTTTTTTAACAGTTTTGTCGAAATTCTTTATTTTCATATTTTAAAACTGTGTCAGTTCCCGCCCGGAATGTTGTTCAAGTACTTTAAATATTCTAATACTACGATTATTCTCAGGGGTAAATTTGCAACGGTTTATCAATGCGAGAAGCATACGACCAAAGAGCTGTACGCAGCTAAAATCATCCAGACAAAAAGTCAGAAGAACATGGAAGAAAGTTTAAACGAGGTGAAATACTTAATAATTGACTAGTAATGTAAATAATCGACTGCTCCTGCAGTCACTTAGCTTAAACTACAGGACATTTATCAAACTTTATTTAGAAACGATAAAAAATGAAGTTTTAAAAAATCTGTCTTTACTCAACGTATAATATTCGCAGGTTGAGATTCTCAGATCTGCGAACCACATTGGAATCGTGAAATGTTACGACGTTTTTCAGAGCAAGAATTCTCTTACCATGATCTTAGAATTGTAAGTATTTACTCTTTTATCAACTCAATAAGAGGCATTGAAAATTTAAATATCTTGTGAGTCTGAAAAAGTTTGCTTATCAGTCGATTTCATACTGCATAATTGACCCATTCGCGACGAATGTCTGTGACACTTAATTAAGTTATCAAAATTTACTGCCGAAAATTCTGAAGACAACCGTGTTGATATGCTTCAATCGGTTGGACGGAATTTTTGCCGACTTCCAAAAACACTTCACACGAGGAATGGCTTCATTTTTGAAGCCACATTTGCTATTCATGAATATTACTCTGCTTTAACGCTCTGTTAAGAATTTTTAGATAAATTATATGGTAAATTTATTTAGTATGGATTCCATAATATGTACTTGTATACCATGGTCCATGCTGTACAAAATAAATTCATGTAACATCTACTCAGCTAGACAACATCACTGACTCTGTGATTGTAATATCTTAATTCTGTGTGGTCATCAGATTTTAACCTCTTAATTCGTAAATTTAATCTTTAGGCCTTTTTATGCGGCACTGATCTTATAAAGGTGCATCAAATTTGTGGCCTCTACGAGAAGCTGCACTGGCCCTCTAAAGGAAACCACCCCCCCCCCCCCCCCCCCCCCGTACAGAGCTACAGGAAGCCACTGGCCCTCTAGGGCTCTAGTATAGAACATGTCCACTCTCACTAAGGAAGGCTTATTTTGTCAACATCACCTTGTATTAGTTTGAGCGGCCCAAGCATGGAAAATAATTTGGAGCAGAAAAGGGAATCCCGAGTTTTATTTTGGCAATTTTTAAACAATTTGGATTCGTCGGACAGATTTTAGTGCTTCATGAAATGGCTAGCAACCGCAATTTTAATGCTTGTTGATGACAATGATCGCACTGAAGCTCAATTTAATATCTTGGGTGACTTGCAATTTTGTTGCAAGTGATCGTCATATGGGTTTGGTAAAAACTCACCTACACCCCCCCCCCCCCCCCCCCCGGCCCCCTCCATCTCCCCCTTCTTTTTAGTAGAAGCGTGTGGAAGCCTGGTTCGTCTTCACTCCCTAAATGTAACTTTACATCTGTATCTGTCATCGGATGGCGCTACAAAAATGAGAATCTCTACAAGTCATACGCGGCGGCTGTGTTGTAAGTCCATGTGACGTCATCAAAACGACGGATATTCGCCGCCGCTCGGCTACCGGCTAGTGATCTGAATTTAATAGGGCGTGGCCAAATTTCCTCTACTCCCTGCTTTGATTTCCGCGAGTTTTCTTATCAAAATTAAGAACAAATTAGCCGCTTCATTAGTCACTTCGTGGTCTAGGAAGGAATCTAGACGGATTCAGGTGTTAGAAAACTGCAAACTATTTCAATTTGCTTTATAAAAACCCAGGCGTGGTGAAATAATGAAATAGCTCGGGCGACTGGGACGTTTTCAAAGTGACTTTAAATTCTTATATTATGCTGAAAAGCGATTCTCGCCTTATGAATGCGACTAAGGGGAGTTTTCTAATAACCGGAAGCCAAAAGTTGAGATATCTTGGCATTTTGGCAAAGGAAGCATCCAAAAATAACCTCCACTTTACCGGGATATAAGGCAATTGGTGGTGGTACTTGGCAGAGTGTCACCTGGCAAGTCGCTTGTACGGCTTTACTTCTCAGTATGAGCCAAATTTATAATATGATTAAAACCGCATCTTAACTTCCAACCCGTAGTACGGATATTAACGCGTAATTGCGCAAAATTCCAGAAAGTTCTAATCTTCAACCAGACCAACATCTGAATTCCAGTATAACCACGTATTTCCCTAGGATAGGTGGGGGCGAGTTGTTCGAGAAGTTAGCAAACGAAGATCACGTGTCCGAAGGACAAGCTGCCAGCTACACCAAACAAACTCTGGAGGCTTTGGAACACCTTCACTCCTTGAAGATTGCTCACCTTGATCTCAAGGTTCATTTCTTAAAAATTACAGCCGTCCATTCAACTGTTTCGCTGATCAATAAATATAAGCAAGTTCTTTACAAGCTGTCAATTTAAATAGATTTAAGATTTAACAGTTTTACATTTCATTTATTCCTTCAGCCTGAGAATTTGATGCTGAGTGCAGCGGATTCTGACGTCATAAAAATAGTGGACTTTGGTCTCTCAAAGAGAATCAACAAAAGGGTGGTTTGCATGCAGGGAACCCCTGAGTTTGTCCGTGAGTTAATATTCAGCCCTTCACATTCATAAACTCGTACAACCACTGTTTATTCTGATCAATATACACATGAAAAGTTGCACCTGAAATTATTGTGTAAGTTGATTTGGAGACATTAGTCTACAAATTAGTCTTCAAATTATGTGACTATTTAACAAGTCCACAATTTCAGCCCCCGAGGTCATATCCCTGGACCCATTAGGACCTTACTCCGACATGTGGTGAGTAAAAACTTAGATAAATTAGTAATAATTTAGATGAATTACACTATTTAATCCTGTAATTTACTGAATTATGTACATCTCCTCGTCTTATACCTGCTGTGTTAACCACATTTACAATATGAATACATTGTATACATTGTATGGATCACAACAACAGCACATATTGATATTCCATGTGTGGACACACTGCTAATAATGACCCATTAACGTCACTTCATGGTTAATGATCTTCCGAGCGATATTTTTTGTAAAACGAGAAATTATCAGTTGGGGACGGTTAAAATTGTTTGATCGAGAAGAAATTCTATCAGGATATTAATCATACAAATATAAAAGGGAAGCAAGGAAGCAGCCAGATTGACCGTACAGTGAAGTTATGACAAACATGTGTTACACATCTGTTACACATCTGTTACACATCTGTTACATATCTGTTACACATCTGTTACATATCTGTTACACATCTGTTACATATCTGTTACACATCTGTTACACATCTGTTACATATCTGTTACACATCTGTTACACTCCAGGTCAGTAGGAGTGATAGTTTACATCATGGTTAGCGGCTACTCACCTTTCATGGGAGACGACGACAACCAGACCTACGGGAACATATCCATGTGTGACTACGAGTTTTACGAGGAGGAGTTCGCCAACATCAGCGAGGATTGCAAAGACTTCATCAAGAACCTCCTCGTGATCCGAACATCGTGAGTGTAAGAGTTTTTTATTGGTTTTCTACATCCATCCATAGTCGATTTCAGCCAAGCATTTTTATTCGTGGAAGACTGTCTTCAATTGCTGGTTGTCCTATCTTTGAATTAGATAGAAATTATTACAGGATTTTTCATTTTAGATTTTGACTTTTTTTTGGTTTCCTGAGCGGTATATGAGTGTTTTGTCAGTTTGTAACCCGTCCCTTATCTTCAGCGAGCGTCTTCCTGCTACCTCAGCACTCAACCACAATTGGATTATTAACAGAAGCCAGAACAAGAACACGATAGAGCACCAGAAGCTGAAACGCTTCCTCGCTCAACGAAAATGGAGGGTGAGTCTGCATGTTAACAATTAACCGGGCTTGTTTATCAGATCTCATGTAATAACTTTATTTCCAGTTGGCATTGAAGCATGGTGAATATTTTTCGTCTTAACGAAGCGTAAACGTAAGTGCGATTTATTGATTTCTTCAGAAAATCACCTCATCCTTCTGTTCTCAGGCACTTCAGAAAACAATACAATCTGCCCGAATGTTTAACTCTCTGCTGGGTTCTAAGGTAATTATATTTCCATCGCAGCAACATCTAACTTGTTCATATCACCCCAGGCATTGCTCTGGACTATTAGATCTACAAACGTTTTTCGACTGGGTATCGGGCTCGGAAACCTTAATAACAAGGTGAATTAATTGGTTCTTGGGCGGTGAGAAGCTTTCTACGGCATGTGCGGCACACTCTCGTTATCAGCATCACTGCATCACCTCCCCCTTTCCAGCCGTACTAATAATAATATAGCATCAATAATCTTATCAGCAATATTTATTAACTGCAAGTTGGATTTTATTGGCTCTTGTAGCCCTAGCATTGTCCTTCCTCTTTTAGAAATATTTTAGGTAACATATTCGCAGTTTTTTTGTCTGCTTAGGGGCTACACTTTTGTTTGAATCCAGCTTTATTTAACACCATCTTTTTTGGTTGCCTTAAAAGGTTGAAAGCAATATCTGTCCACGGCTTTTGTAGTGTCAAACTCAATCGAAATCTTTGCTCAAATCTGTTTCTTTTCAATATTCCCTTTTCGCCTGCTCGACTTAAATCTCTCAGGAATTAAGCATCGCGTGTTCCAAAGTGGGTATGAAACAGGAAGTATATTAGTAATATCAGTAATATTATTACTAATATTATATTAATATAACTTCCCAATGATCCTGTTTTTTATTTTCACTTCAGCATCTTCCTCGACTGCCATCTATGATAAGCCTCTTGATTACTAAATATATTTTTAGCTTTACACCTAGAAATAGCTCAACAATACAACTATAATCAATTTGATATGTACACAATTTATTAGAATGGTATAGACAGCTAATTGAACCCCTTCTTTTATCTGAAGCTATCAAATAATTAAAATTTTTTTAACTTAATTACTAGCCATGAAGATTCGCCCTATTTCTTTCTGCATATTTCAAAGTCAGATCCTTTGTTATGAAACTTGAATTTTTGATTCAAACATACTTTTTGTTCATATAAAGATATCTAAGAACCTCTCCATTCCTTAGAAGCACCAATCTACGATAAGCCCTCCAAGCGTTGCGATGGATCACCGGAAGCTGATGGTGGCTCCTGGAGATAGTATCAGTATCACGGCCCACTTGGTGTCCGTGAAACCGACCTGCTCCTGGAGCAAGGACGGTACTCTTCTTACTGTTGACAAGCAGAAAATCTGGTAAGTTTTCTGACTGTTTTGTATAGGGTTTATCATTAATTTACCTTTTTAAGCGACTGTTATTTAGAATTGAAGCGAAAAAATACCTCTCATAAATTGGGTAATACATTTATACGTCTAAAAACTTTTTTCTCAGAATACCAAATTTGATTCACGACTTTCGTTATATCTCACCGAAGATAATTGAGAAATTGTATTATCGCAAATATGGCGTCCTCTTAGATTTTTGACTTTATTATTCATGTGGCCTTGTAATACAAGGCCACTTATCTTTGCAATTTGTTGAACCAATTTCTTCAGGCAAATTAAGAAATCAATAAGGCTCTTCTGTTTTTCACATTGTTCTACAGCTCGCTTATTTTTATCATTTTATATCTGAGAGATAAAAATTCAATTTTCTTAACACTGTAATACAAGGTCAGTTATCTTTGCAATTTTTGGACCAATAACTTCAGACAAGTAAATACGGCTCAGTAACTGTCTGTCACATTTTCGTTATAAGCCAGTCTTCCTCGTTTATTTTCACCGTTTTTATCTCTGAGAGATGGGAGCACACTATTTAACAGCTCAGCTGAAAGAAGATTTTAACCGGGACGGAGTGGTCATCATCAGACAAGTTTTCAACAGCAGCTGGTTAAAGAAGGTCGAGTCTTCAATCGAGAGGAACAAAGCTTCGCCCAGTCAGTACGGAGAGAATGTCAAGGGAGAGGGCGGAAACGGGTCCTATTTTAACGACTACTTAAACTGGAGCAAGATTCCTGAGCTGGAAGAGTATGTTTACAAGTCTCCCGCGGCAGAGATCGCTAAGTTTCTGACAGGATCTGAGAGAATAGTGCTTTATCACGAACACGTGTTGTGTAAAGAACCTAACACCACTAAAGCCACACCCTGGCACCACGACCAGTCCTACTACCCCCTGGACGGTGACCAAGTTTGTTCCATCTGGATGCCAGTGGACTATGTCGCCAAATCTGAGACCCTCTACTTTGTGAAAGGGTCTCACAAGAAGGGCAACTTCATGCCCTACAAGTTCGCTACCGAGCTCCCCTATAAAGTATCAGAACCAAATCAGGACTCCCTGCTTACCTTCACCTCCATCCCAGAGAATATAGAGGACCTGGGGGAGATTGTGGGGTGGGAGGTGACTCCGGGGGACTGTGTTGTGTTCGCAGGTAAAACGGTTCACGGAGCACCTGGAAACTTGTCTGGTAGACAGAGGAGGGTGTTGTCCACTAGGTGGCTTGGAGACGATGTAGTCTGTGCCAACAGACCCTGGATCTGCTCGCCACCAGTTACTGGAAACTTGAAACCTGGAGATAAGTTCCAGCAGGAGGATCTGTTTCCTTTCATTGACTGTTAATTATTTAACTTCATTTTGTGCATTGACGTTTCAGTTACAAGATTTGATTACAATAATGACCTTACCGAAAAAGGTCGGATATGTATATTGAATGTTGTACAAGAGTTTGAGTTGATTTTATTGATATTAGTATTAGTATTACGGAATTACTGTTTAATGAAATATGGGTATTTTCTTAATTTTTCATACAAACTCATAGTTTTAATACTCGTGTTATCAATTATTTTCCAAAATAACGATTGTCTTTTTCTTATTTATAATATTTAATTAACAACAGATCATATATATAATAGCTAAAATAAGGTATTCACAGCCACATTAGTCAAAGTTGTCAAATGCCTCAACCAAATTTCGCGATGTATGCGACAATGCGATTTAAAAATGAAACTGAGCTCTAATATCACCCCACAAACAAGTCCACCCCACTAACCACTCCACCCCACTAACCACTCCTCCCCACTAACCACTCCACCCCACTAACCACTCCTCCCCACTAACCACTCCTCCCCACTAACCACCCCACTAACCACTCCTACCCACTAACCACTCCTCCCCACTAACCACTCCTCCCCACTAACCACTCCACCCCACTAACCACTCCACCCCACTAACCACTCCTCCCCACTAACCACTCCTCCCCACTAACCACTCCTCCCCACTAACCACTCCTCCCCACTAACCACTCCTCCCCACTAACCACTCCACCCCACTAACCACTCCTCCCCACTAACCACTCCTCCCCACTAACCACTCCTCCCCACTAACCACTCCTCCCCACTAACCACTCCTCCCCACTAACCACTCCTCCCCACTAACCACTCCTCCCCACTAACCACTCCTCCCCACTAACCACTCCTCCCCACTAACCACTCCTCCCCACTAACCACTCCTCCCCACTAACCACTCCTCCCCAATAACCACTCCTCCCCACTAACCACTCCTCCCCACTAACCACCCCACTAACCACTCCTCCCCACTAATCACTCCTCCCCACTAACCACTCCTCCCCACTAACCACTCCTCCCCACTAACCACTCCTCCCCACTAACCACTCCTCCCCACTAACCACTCCTCCCCACTAACAACTCCTCCCCACTAACCACTCCACCCCACTAACCACCCCACTAACCACCCCACTAACCACTCCTCCCCACTAACCACTCCTCCCCACTAACCACTCGTCCCCGCAGCGTGATTGAATCAGACACTCAGAGTATCCTGATCGTGTCTCAGTTCAGTGCTTCAGACGAGGGCCACTACACTGTCGCTTGCTCCAACCCGTCAGGGGCCACAGCCACGGCAACTATCCAGCTCATCACCCTCGCTCCCACAGGTAGGTTCACAGCACTTTATGGAGGGGCTCGGGTGCTAGCTGGGGTCGCTCAGAGAGGGGTTTTTCAGGGAAGTCTGACGGCTCTGTTGATGGGGGGGGGGGGGGGGGCTGTTCTGTTGTTGGTGGGACCTGGGGGGGGGGGGGGGGGGGTATCAAAATCACTGCCGACTTGTCTTTTCAGACAACATTGCGCGCTACTATATTTCAATATTTTATAATACTTGATGAGATAGTGTGATGAAACAATCGCGAAAGTATGAAAATAGTGAATGAGAGATGCGTGATTTGCATGCGCAACTAAAATAATTGAGCATGGCATGATTTGATGTAGCTAAGTGTTAAGTAAAAAATTATAAACTATTAAGTTGCTTCGTCAAAATTTAGACAATGTGTTGTTTATTCATTTTATAGTCTAAAAGTGTGTACGATGCGGCAATTTGAGTCCAAATTACAACCAGCAAAAAATAGTTCGAAGGAAAAAAACGTTTTTAAAGGCAAACAAGTTTTTAAAGAAAAAAGAACATTCTAGTCACCAGATAACAGAGCTCACAATAGAAAATTAAATTATTGAAGGAGAAAATAAATTATACTCTGGATGCGGAATTAGCTGAAAATTATTTCACTTTTACCCTGTAGTAACAGCTCTCACTTGCACTTTTACAATTAGATAACGACGACTGGTGAAGACTCTCACGAGCTCTTCATCTCATTATCATACCACCAGGTTCACACACATTTCCATTGTGTACACATGGTCCGTCCACCATGTTCTATAACATGGTTGGGATGGTTTCAATAAGCCCCTAGGAGCCCATCTCCCTGATTAATTGCAGTCTAACAATTTCCTTTCGGTCCAACTTTTTACTCTGTACATCAGTCAGGATATAAGCCCACTTACGTGTTATTTTCACTGACAAGAGCCTTTACCATTCATGGTGGCCAACTTGCATCCGACCAAATCGACTCCAATCGAGGAATTGGACATCAAAACCTTTACACCAATCAATCTTAAAACCCTTCGATAGCAAACAGCAGCCTTCCTATTAGGGTCTGCCCACACTACGCCTCTATTCCCCGAAGGTCTTGCCCGTCACCACATGGCGTAGTGTGGGCAGACCTTCGGGGAATATAGGCGTAGTGTGGGCAGACCCTAATGTATTTGAATGGTGAAATGTAAAACGTACGTGAGTACGTGATATTCCGAATATCTGGCATTCAGGCTTCAGCTACATTTCATCAGTAGAATACATTATAGGAGGGCTGCTGTTTCCCTCCAATTTCAACTGACCCCGTCACAAAAGCTATTAATTGAGAAGCACCATAATTTGAGTACTTTGAAAAGTTACCACACGCAGCCCGTTACACGCAACGTTATGACGCACCTTTTTGGCTCTAATTCAAATTAGTGAGGGTCTTCCTCATGTACTAAGACTTATTCAGCGATATCTTCTGTTAATTGTAATTACAGCGTAAGCTTTTTACGCAATTGCTATGTTGTATGTCGTTAAAGTCTCATGACCGATTGTGATTAGACCCATGATTAGCAAGCTCCATTACAAGGGTGAGGTGTGACCTTGCATCCAAGGTGAGTCGCAATTAACGGTTTATATTCCTTGGACCAGTAGTATTCCTTGAAGCCTTCATAGCGGCTCATGCCTCTATGATCATCATAGCATCATGGTATCGGCATCTCAAGCTGATCCTGTCAGAATTTTACTGGACAAATTTCCAGATCGCGCTGATAAAACTCAAACTGTATATAAAACTATGTAAATAAAACTATAGACTTCTGTCGAGTGTTCCGTCTTTTGTAAATGCATGATTATTGTGTGATATGAGTGAAAGTGTTACATCCAAGACTCGGGTCCTAAATGTTTTACACGAACGAATGCCAACTTTTTCGAGTGCTGATGGGGAATGTGCGATGTGAGTGCTGAATGAGTGCTAAGAGTGCTGAATGACTGATACGAGTGCGGTTTTATGATCAATTTTCTTACGACTGATTGAGTGAAGAGTGGAAAACTTTTAGGGGAGAAAATGGAGTATTGATAAATCATACTTTTATAAGTCTATGACTCTTTAAACTGCAGATTGATTCCTACACTCAAAACGATCCAGTGATGTTCCAAGCCCGCTCCGGGGAGAAGTAAATCTGCGCCACTCAAACCTTTTTTCAACTGGGTTATTCAAAACTACTAACATTTTAATTTCGAATGGGATTTTCTGAGGATTACACGTAATAGGCATTTCGTTTCAGATATATTTATTTATTTTTCGATCACTACGAGATATTTTAAAGAAGAATGGTTTCTTCAGAAGATGTGTAAGTTGTGGATTTGATCGGTTACGTTTGAAGGAAGTAAAAAATTATACAGTTTATTATTAAATTAGGCATTTGAAATAGAATTAGCAAGCGAAGATGACATTTCCAACAGCGATATCAAATTCAATGTGGTTGTTATCGCTTCGATTTCATTTCGAACTTTCAAGGCAATTTAATTGACGTTACAGATTTAAATTGACATTGTTAATATACTTATGCAATATATGTACTTACAGTTTTACGTTAAGTCGTTTAATGTTCAGTTTTAAGAGGTTTAAGTTAATTTTCATTATCCTTTACTCCTTGAGTTCCCATAATATATGCTTACGATTTACATTATGCTTGATATTTTATTTAAACTTCACGTTGTATTGTGTATTACATCTCGACACTACTGGAGTTGAGTTGCTTTTCTGCAAAAGTGCTCACTCACAACAGGAAGCATGAAACTACTTGGTAACGAGTGAAAGTAATAATCCACAAAGTTTCGTGGATTTTGCAATCCTGGCCTCGGTGGTTTGCTCTTATCATGAAACTAAAAGTGGGGATATAACCGTTAGTTTCACTGGTCGCTACGTTATGTCGATACTAGAAATTAATTAAACGGTCGAGTTTGCATGACTTAAACTAGAGCCAACTTTCACAAAAAGTCATTAATCGATATTAGTTTGGTAATATTTGACGGGAAATTTTAATTCCTTTACTTAAATTATTAGACAGTATCTCCGGGGAACCAATACCAACGGTTGGGGCTAAATATTGTGAATTGAAGTTTTTCAACGGACTTGGTATAGCGGAAGGTTTTGAATTATAAAATTTGTCACAGTTGAGGAAGTTGATAACGCAATTACTACTGCTCACTTTTAAAACTGTTTTATTTTGAGATGGTATCGAGATATTGATATAAGTTTGGGTGACGTCGGTATGTATACAATAAACATGACATTATATTATTAGTTATTGACCATTATGATACATTAATGGGAAATTGACTTGCTGATAGAATTAAGTTTTAGTTATCATTTTTAATGCCATGGTTGATTATTATTAACATAATGACAAATTGGTCGTTTAGCTTTCATATGACAAACAAATTATCTTGTTCATTGTTAACATGCAATGTAATGAGTTAAAATCATAAATGATAATATCTAAATTAAATAAAACTTAGAATCCTGAATTTAAGAAGGAAATTTTACATATTAAAACGATCTCATCATCAGCAATGAATAAGAGTGAACTGGCCTAGAATCCAATTTTAAAATGACCTTATCGGGCACTCAATTTCGTTATCGTTGAATGATCAGTTGGTTCTAAATGACGTAATAGGAGAACATAATCTGTGCGGGTTATCCTTCTTTACCAATTAACTTTAATTTGAATACTTTGAACGCCACCATTTTTAAAAATCTCTGCGACTGTAAAACCCCGAAAATTCTTTCAAGATTCAACTGTGAGTTGTCGCTTTTGTTGTTTTTCTACATTCGTTTTTTAGCCCCTCTAATCAGAATCTATTATAAGTCTTGACACTGACAGTGACACTTGTCGTTGTTGCTAACTTTTTGAATTAATATTTAATAGTAATACGGCAAAGGGACCGTTTAACTAAATAACGTTACGTTTAAACTTTAAAGCTAAGTTTTGGCAATTTTATGCACCTTTCCAGCTTCAACTTCAAGGCCACCGTAAGAATCAAAAACCAATCGTGTGATTTAGTTCTTCTTTATTTATAAATAATTCGAAATCCAAAATGAATCTATAGGGGAGAATCAACAAGATTTAATAATTTTGGTAGGAAATTTACAATTTTTGCTATAATCATAACTTACGCGTAGACAGAGACTGAAGTAAAACTTATCCGGCGCTGATCACTGTTTCATTTGGGCCAGCCTACTTTTTAGTTTCTGCCTACTCACTATAAGTATAAAGTATAACTCAGGACACAGGTTCTGTCTGCTCAAACCTTAAAATGCCTCCCTACGTATTCAGTATTAGTAATAGTAATACGTAGTATTAGTATGTAGTTGCATTAATGATTAAAATGTCGTGTCCAGAGTCGCTTTATAATTATAAAATTAGGTAGGAACCCAAAAACTGCGTGTCACGTTCGGCTTATAAATTATCAGTATCACTTATAAAGTAATAACAAATATTAGTATACATATGTACGATTATAGCGGGGCGGTTTGTAACTATAGTGAGATACATGACTGCAGTGCAACTGCATACCCCCAAACTGAGAGTGACATGGACAGCTAAGCCTAAATTAAAATACTAATACTAATAGTGCGCTACGTTTTTAAGTATAGTTTCTGCGCGTACGATCGATTGAAGCAAGCTAACCACTATTAGTATTACTATTACTAACAACTAACAATAACATTGTTGATAATATTAATAACAAATAACGATTAGCAAGGCTGTATTTTATTTTTCTACAGACTGCTTTGTGCTTGGGTCAGGCGAACGCCTATTCAATTTCTAATTCTATACATTAACATATAGCTCAAGCTGTGCCACGTAGGTCGTACTTAACGGGTTATAAATATAACTTATACTTGTAGTTGTACAATATTTATTTGAAGTATAAACATCGTCGATGAGTTGCGAAGAGAGCGTTTTAGGTCATACTCATAAACCTGCAAACTGCAAACGTCGTACATGTAATTGTATTAATATGCTCCAATAAAGGTTACGCGATATAATGCAAAGCTTAGCTTAGCAAGCTTTGTTCAGTGTTGCTAGTGGTCGAACTAGCCTCACCGGCCGTATTCGAGCGCTAGGCCAGGAGCTAAATGCTAGAACGCCGTGTCACATATTCAATAATATTGTCAATTAAGTCCTCCTAGTCACTGTCAGCTGAGCATTGAGCAGCTCTCGTCACTCGTACAGTTCAGAATTATGCCAGCTTCAGCAACTTGAACTAACGCAATGGGTATATGCACTATTGACTATACGTATTCGTAATAATTATAACTATAAGCAAGCCTATTTATTAATTCGCTCGCCCAAACATTATAAAATATATAATCACGTAATTTAGGGTTAAACTTAAGGTTTTAATTTTACGGTTTTGCATCCGAACGGAACACTTGTACTTATAGTTAAAGTTTGAATTCAAAAAATTCAATCTCACTATAAATGTTTAATCGTTGTACGGTTTCGCATCCACTGGCCCTCCACCGTCCCGGGTACAGTCTTACTCTTACTCTTATAGCCATTTCATTTATGAGTTATGGGCCGGGCAGCGTGCCAGCGTCTGACAGTGACAGTGAAAATGAAATCGGCAAACAGGCCGCGGAGGCTTAACTTGGACTTGAATACCTAAAGCTTTATAATTGTATACTAGATTTTAGCGATTAATGAATTTTTAGTCAGATTTTTACCAGGTGATACTCTTACAATATTTGTTTCAAGTATATAAACTAAACCGTCGATGAGTTCAACGATCGGCGCGCGTTTTGATAGGTTATATATAAACCTACAACAAGATTTTAATTAAAAATTCTAACTGCCACTGGCAACGGATTACCCAAATCTAACGATACATTTAACCTATTATGTATTATTCATATTGTAATTAAATTTGTATGAACGTCTCACGCGATCTCTACATGACAGTTCTGTAGTACTAATATATTATGTATTAGGCAACTTAATCCTACAAGTACATCATAAACATACTCCTTATATATATATATACTTATATATATATATACCTAGTCCTAGAATACAAAAGATTGTAGTATGAAAGACTTAAATTCGATATGACTTACTTGTCGTTATGATTATAACTTGCTATAGCATATTGATATTCATATAGTTTGACATTATAAATTATGTTAAAAATGATGCGTATATAAGTATATATTATTATTATCGTGGAACGAAAATCATAAAAAATAATTTTACAAAGTCTTTTTTCTTTTACTTTTAGCACATGGAATTTCTAAAGTTAAACTAAAGGGCTTTGTAAATACCAACAGCGAAATGAAGAACGAATAGTTATCCTGCTCCAAATTCAGACTAGCGGTCATGGTCATTAGAATTCCAACAATCGAGTTACAACCTATAGTAACCACATTGCAATTAGCCTCTCGAGGAAAAAGAAACCCGATATTTATGAAATCCAAAAAGATTCATGAGGCAACGCTTGATCTGATAGTTATTACATTTACCCGACAACGTTGAGGTCTTAATTATTAATCCCCCCGCCCCCAACCCCCCCCCCCCCCCACAAACTAATCAAAAATCTGATATTGACCCTTGATAGCATATTTTGAATCAAAATTGATATAATTATAATGTTCGAACAAAATCCGCCTTGCATGCTGCAATTCTGCATGCATCACTTTGATCGATATTCTTTTCTCATTGGTTACACATGCCATTTTACGAACTTATGTTTTGAAATTTCAGCACCCTGTGTGTCCTTCGAGAAGCGAGAGTTCATTACTAACGAGGGGGATACAGTTAAACTGATGGCTGACATTGTCTCAGAGCCCAAACCTACCGTCGTCTGGGAAAACAAAAGCAAGAAAGACGTCGCTAAGTCTAAATCTCGGTTCACGTGAGTTTCAGGCAATAAATTATTATTGAAGAACTGAAAATTAGAACTTATTCAATTAAAATGTTAGATCTAACGGATGTCTTTTAGAAAAGTTACGGAGTTCTAGTAAGTGAATATTTAATTAAATTTTGATTCAAACTAACTATAGTTTATATTTAAAAAGGTTGCAGTTATGTAATAAGAATAAAAGCAGTAATGCTAATAAATCAAATTTACTTTCAGTGAATCAGTGGCATGCCACTTTATAATAAAAAATAGAAAAATATAAATATAAAAACAATCTCAGGCAAGTTGAAGACAAATGCTACGCGGAATTGACTATCACGAAGGCCAAGTTGAGCGACGCGGGTAACTATACGATAAAGGCCAGGAACAAGCTTGGTCGTGGAGCCGCTTCTGTGCAGCTCAAAGTTCTACCGAGAAAGGATACAGCCGAAAGGTCTAATTCAATAGCCTCTGAAGGAAGTCCAACTGAAATACAGCCTCCCATTAAACTTTCAGATTCAGCGAAACCTAAGGCTGAGTCTGAAGGTAAAGCTGAAAAGACTCAGCCAGAGGTTTTGGCAGATGTCCAAAAATCTTCTTTGCCTGATTCTAAAATCATCTCTGAACAGAAGAAGGAAGATCCAAAGGTTACTAAGTCTGAAGAACTTGTTGAACCAAAAGAGGAGCTAGCCAAACCCAAAGAAGAACCATCTAAACCCAAAGAAGATATACCAAAACGTGAAGAAGAACCTTCAAAGCCAATAGAACTACCTCCTAAGCCTAAAGAAGAACCTCCAAAAACAGCAGAACCCCAGAAAGAACCAGTGAAACCAGTTGAGCCAGCGAAACTTGTTGAACCAGTGGAATCTGTTAAACCTGTTGAGCCAGTAAAACCAGTCGAACCAGTTGAACCAGTTGAACCAGTGAAACCGGTTGAAACCGTTAAACCTATTGAACCAGTGAAATCAGTTGAACCAGTGAAACCTGTTCAACCTGTTGAACCAGTGAAACATGTTGAACCAGTGAAACCTGTTGAACCAGTGAGACCTGTTGAACCAGTGAAACCCGTTGAACCAGTGAAACCTGTTAAACCCGTTGAACCAGTAAAACCTGTTGAACCAGCGAAATCAGTTGAACCAGTGAAACCTGTTGAACCCGTTGAACCAGTAAAACCTGTTGAATCAGTGAAATCAGTTGAACCAGTGAAACCTGTTGAGCCAGCGAAACCCGTTGAAACCGTTGAACCAGTGATCTCTGTTGAACCAGTCGAGCCAGCGAAACCAGTTGAACTAGTGAAACCTGCTGCAACAGTGAAACCAGTTGAAACCGTTGAACCAGTAAAAGCCGTTGAACCAGTAAAACCTGTTGTACCAGTTAAACCGTTGGAAGACCCAGTTAAGCCAGTGATACAGGCAAATGGAGAGCCAGACAAACCTCATCAAGAAACAACTGAAACAGATTCTAAAATTCAAGCACAGAAACCTATCGTCGAGGCAGCTAAGTCGGAGGAAAAACCCAAAGGCCAAAAGAAAGAATCGTATTCCAAATTATTTGGTAAATCTGTTAAGCCTGCCATGATTAATATGGGTTTGCCTAAATCAAAGTCTTCCAAGGAGAAAGTTGAAAATCCTATTCCGGAAAAAAATCACGCGGATCCAGCACCTGCAGCAAATTCACCGAAATTAGAGCAGAAGAAGAAATCAGATCTCCTTAAAAAGAAAGTCCTACCTCCCATGATAGATCTAAGCACAGGCAAAATCAAATCCAAAGCTCAAGCACCAAAAGTAGCATCTAGGAAAAACTCGGTGGATCCGGAAAAAGCACCTACAAACGGGCCGTGTTCTAGTGAAGATGAGAACGCAAAGAAAGGTAAAAAGCTTAAACTGGAGCATGCCCATTCTCTAGACGATAAAGCCCTTCACGATGTCCCGGATCTGTCCCGCACCCACGAGCCTATCCGAACCCGTTCTTCTAGCATGGCTGCTGTAACAGCAGCAAAAGGCATGACAAACAAAAAAAGAGGTGAGCTGAGTGAAGTTATTCTGAGTGAGATGGAGGCACTTCGAACTCGGGAAACAGAAAACTCAAGCAAGCTGTTGAACACTACATATCCCGCAAAGAGCACGAGATTAGATGTCAAGCACAATTTGAGAGCAACACAGTCCCTTGTGTTGTTCTCTGGGGATGAACGTATCGATTTAGATGGGTGTATTGAACGGGTTCTTCAGAAACGAAATCAAAACTCTGTTCTGAGGGTGTACTATGAGCGTCAACGCTCCAAGATGAAATCTTCGATCGATATTCTTCTTGACGGGGATATATTAGAATCAGTGCACGTTTCTAGCGATGATTTTGAGCAAATAAAAACAACACCTTTAACTTCTAAATCTATGAGCACGTTACCAAGCATGGATTGTGACCCAATCACCTTTACTTTCTCTGACTGTGTTTCTCCTGATCTATCATTAGTTGATTCAGAATCAGGGGCAATTCAGCATTTATCCAAATTCATGTCTAAGTCAACAAATAATTTGCATGATGACAAAATGACAAGTGATTCTGATTCTTTAAGGCGTTCTACGAGTTATTGCATGTTTGAAAATGTTGATCCAAATAAGGGGTTACATGTTTTGGGTAATTTCTAGACTAACATATTTGGATAATGGTGGGGAGATGAATTATATTAGTTTTGACACGTGACAGCGATTCTAGGAGGTTGTGAAAAACAATATGGTTCACTTCCTCATCAATATCCAGATCTGTTATCTATCTTCGGGTGCTTTATCTACAGTGCCCGAAGGTTTTCTTTGTATTGAAATATTTCCTTGTGTTTCAGATTGCAAAGTGATGTGAGTCGTGTGAAGAGTGATCAGCGTGACAAACGTGCGGTTCCACCGACTAAAAACATGAAAAGTAGTGTACTGGGGAAAGTGTGATGAGTGTCGTGTATAGAAACAGAATACGTCTGTTCTGCAACCCAATCAGTTATGGTTGTGAGCTCAAGACCACAATTTTCTTCGTTCAGATCTTGTGTGTGTGACCAGCGAATGATCAGTTTTTGTTTTAAACGTGCCGTGAGCTCGGAGTCTATGTCACTCTAATATCGAGTTATTGTTAGGAGTAGGATCGAGTCTCATGAAGGCAAAGCTTAATTGAACTCAATTAAAATGATCAGACCAAGATGTTTGAAAATAATACTGCCTGTCTGCCTCATGCATTCCTTAGAATTTCCAGTCTGAAACAGTAATTGACTCAGTGAGAAGTATGCTGAAAAATAAGCTGTAGGAGCAAAGATGTCACATTACCTTGGCTCATTAAAGAGATCCGGATACTGTGTGATATTGAGTTTAGATATTTATACTTAGAGGGCAAAATTTAATATAAGTTGTTAGATATTTTTATTTTCACTTAACGAATAAATTAATGTTTTAGGAAAGACGTTAGACAAGTAAGCCGGCAGCGACCTTGACTTTGAGTCAATTATTGATAGCTAAAGTTCTAAGCCTTTTTAGAATTTCAAGGGATTTCGCTATTATTGATCTGCGCCGTCTTTGATACGTATAAAGTAAGTGAATGTATGAAATTACATGACAGTTAATTTCATCTTGTTTGTATAAAACAGTTTTGTCCTTTTGTCATCGAACTTTCCTCCATGAGAAAATAACAAGTATGATAATTTCATGCTGAAGAAATATTTATAAATACCTCTTTTATTATTATCACGTAGCTTGGCTAGTATAATAGGAAGTGAGTATAATGTGCAAGTGCATCAGTTATTAAAACAACAAGCCGACGTGAAGAATATAAACAAACAATGTTTATCAAGAGCCTAACGTATCGCAGTAAGGTGGTGTTTACCTGCTCCAGAGTTCAGAGTTACAAGGTTTGTTAATTTCAGGTAACACTTCAGTTCTCTCCTGTCTGAGTCTCTTTTGGACTGTTCCGGACATCAGAGCCAATGTTCGCTGATCTGTTGTCCCTCCAAGCATAGGGGACATATTTCCAAGTTTTATACGTTAATTTAGTATTTATAGGCTGCTAGTAAAATGCTGTTGTATGATCGCAGTTGCTAATCTTAGACCGAATCATGTGAAATTGAAAGTTTAAAAAGATTAAAACTTTTAACACGCTACGTGGCCTGTTTTAGTTAAAGTTTCATCCGAAGTTTAAGTGAAATCAAGTTGCAAAAATGTAAGCAGTAGACACTTGCTTTAGATCCGTAGATCATTTGTAGTAATTAAGGTCACGAACAACGGAAACGAGAGTAATATCGGAGGTTACAAGATAATAAACTATAAAACAACACAATTAATAATTCGGCAAACAAATACTACTACTCTAATAATAATTAATAATTCGGCAAACAAATAATCCTACTCCCACTTAAACCAGACTTATATCGCCTAAAAACGTCCACAAATCAAATGCCCCTATTATCACGTATCACTATCATATCAGGCTCAACCATCGTTGAACGTCACTAATTAATGCTTACTCTAAGTATAATCTAGTCGATCTATATCAACCCTTGTTGATTCTCACGTGTATAATCACAATTAGAATTTAGTCGCCCTGAATCAACCCTCGTCAATTCTCACATGTATTATATTATCCCTACTAAAATCTAATCGACCCAAATCAACCCTCGTTGATTTGGACCGCCCTTAAATCTGACGTTACCTAATCTTACAGCCAAATGGGCGCTCATCGACATACCATCACCATAGACCTCATCCGTGCTCTCCAGGACCTAACCCTAACAGGTCCTGGTCCCTCCGCTCTACCCAGCTACAGGTACAACTACAAAGATGGCGGGATGAGTTACGAGACTTTCAGACAAAGCAGGTTTTGTGAGTAATCAGTAACCGGACTTATGTGGTGAACACCATCGGAGGTAGCATTCCAGGACCAGCCATCCAGGACCAGCCATTCCATATGTTAAGAGGGGGGACAAACTGTCCGTGACCGTTACCAACGGACTCACCGACAGTGGTCTGTCCATTTACTGGCACGGGCAGGACAGGAGAGGTCATCAAGTCTACGATGGAGTCTTCGGTATTGCACAGTGTGCCATAGGTCCTGGAGAATCATACGTGTACCAGTTTACAGTAGACGAGCACCCTGGTACAAACTGGTACTACACCCATCACGAGGTGAACCCATCTGGCCAGGACTTCATCCAGGGTCCTCTCAAAGCATCGGTTCCGAATCATCAATGGAGGGTCACAATTTCCTTACTTCTTCAGCATTGACGGATACAAGCTGACTGTAGTCGCTTCAGACGGGTCTCCGGTTGAACCCTACGAAACTGATGTGGTACATATCCTTGTCGCAGAAAGATATGATATATTGGTAAACTTCAACATTACAACTGGAACATATAATGTTCGATTAGAGCCATGAAACTTTCAGAGCACCAGGACAAAGGAATACTGTGTGCCCTAAGGATTAGGAGAAATGATTCCTTTTGACACTGATCTGCCACAACAAAAAAGACAAAAACATGAAAGAATACATGCAGAAATCAAGCATACTCAACTGTGAATGGTTTGAGCCACCCTTCGATTACAACTGCAGAGTGCAGCCCAGTAACGGATCTTGTTCCAATAGTTGAAATCGGTCACGATCGTACTTCGAAATAGAGCCTTCGACAACCACCCCATGCATCTGCAATCTGCATGGCCATCACTCGAGTTCTTGAGATTGCCCTGAGAGACAGTGCTACAGTGCTACCTGTGGTGATGATAACATTTGCCCACTTCTTAACCTGGACACAGCTTTCTCCGAATCAATAGAAGACTTGGTGAGGAGACCAAGACAAGGTGTCCTTAAGGATACCGTCGTGATGCCTGCAGGTGGAGCGGTGGCAGTGATAATAAACACTGATAATCCTGGAGTCTGGTTCTTCCATTACCAAATTCATATTCTGTATTCACCTGCACGAGGGAATGGGTTTAGCTTTAAACGAACAGGACTACATGTTTTCCCAAGACAGCGAGACGGTTCCTCAAGATTATCCCTCGTGTGACACTACTGGGAGGTTGTAGTCACTAAGAGATGCTATTTGTGAGGGCGAAGAAGAGATAGAGGGGAGAAGGTGGCATTGAGGTACGGCAAAACCTGGCTTTGTCATGCTGTCGGAAATCGGGGGTTATGACTGAGTGTGTCCTGTATCACCAACTTTGCTGGTACCAGATGCGGTCAAGTTTCCAGTTGCTTTATTTTTCTATGCATCACGAATCAATGAAAATAGATCATATAATCGCAAAAATATCAAGCAGTTTAGATTTCTGTTGATTTAGACTCAACGACTGTATTTCAGCGTTGCATATGATTTATAAAGACATATTTAATTTGCACTTTTTAATTTAAGCTTTCAGCGAATTAGTATTTAAAGCTTTAACATTGTACTACACGACAGTTGTTGTTCTTTAATAACACTTTTAACCAGCCCAATTAATGCCGATGCATTCATTACTGTTCGGGAGGACCGAGGAAAATTTGCCATTAGTCAAGCTGTTTTAAACTTTTTCATTGATAGTGAGGAAGTCGTAACATACCTTACGATTTTTTTCCGAAAACCGCCACATTTCGTACCCAAATTAAATGATGTTATTTGAGGATTTTTTCATTTTCTTGTTTTACAAAAATGATACCTATTATTTGAAAAAATTGAATACAAAGATCTTCTTTGATCAGCTGTTTCATCTTGTAAACAATTTCTCCGGAGTCTTAGAAAGTTAGCCTCAACTTAACTTATCAATCTCCAGAGGATATAGGAGACCGACAGTGTTCATCGTTATCTTCCACTACTCCAGAAATTTTACCGCCGTAGCCAATAAAGTAGTGACAGACCTCATGCTTATTTCTAATGGAACGTGTCCAAAATCATTTTTAAAGCAACTCATGATCGAATACTAGTGTTGATTAATTGATTGATGAATTGTATTCGTAACTTACTACATTGATAAGTTAATAATAAATCGATTAAGTCATAATTAAGGAAAATACGTGAAAAATAATTTGGGGAAAATAATGATGGTGACCTAAATTTTGGTAATCCGAAAATGTGGTGTTTTAACAAAAAAAACCACCGACTTTCGTACCATTTAATTCAGCTCAGATTTATCGGAGACCAAGTTTATAGTCAGTTAACTATGGATGCTTCATGGATGGATATTATATAGTCAATAGAATCGGAAGTGAAACCTCGGTCGTCCATGTGCAAGCAATGCAGCAATTTCATTTGACTAGTCATGAATGATGAATCTATTTATGATTCACTTATATTGAGTTATGTAATATGTTTGTTTGCTGCTAGTCACGAATCAATTATGTACGTGAGCATTTCTTGGAAAATCATAGTCACCGATCTGTCCTATGGTTAGCTCAAAATATATAACATAGCTTGCGGCTTGGAAAGGCCGGAGCTAGCCAGAGCTTAGCGCGCGGCGCGTAAATGTTGCACTAACAGCTGAACCTTCAAATTTAAAATATTTTCACATAATATTGTTAACGCGCCCTGCGTAATTTTACAGTTACCAGAAGGACTTCAGAAGGACTTTCGACAAATCTGTTCCAAATAAAAAGTTCGAAAATCGAGTGTTTTAGTGAATAACTTAGACTATATTTTTGATTTTCTCAAGATCTGACTGTTAGATTTTATTTAAACTTTCCAGATAGTTAGATGGCTATATGACAGATAATGTGTGAGAGTTTGGGAGAATGCCAAAATGGAGATATCACTTCAAACACAAGAAAATATCCCAATCGTTTTAAACAATTACAATACAATTTTCTCCCAGATCCTAGCATCCGATTTCCTTCAAACTTTCCAGATAGTGAGATAAGTATGAAACTGACATTATATACAAGTTAAGGTAAATTTCCATGTTCCAAATTTGAGATATCACTTCAAACACAAGAAAATATCTCCAAATGAATGGTTTGCAGTGGTACCAAGGCATATATCTCGAGATCTGAATATACGATTTTCTTTAAACTTTTCATATAAAGCACATAGAAATTCGCCCAACCTTGCACAAATTATTCGTCTTATAACCATATGCATATAATGATATAACTATCTGGAAAGTTTACGAAAATTCTATCTGTCAGTTCTCGAGATAATCGACTTGTATCATGGTACAGTTTGGTACAGAAAGTCCAACTCGAAAGTTACAGAAGCTAGCCAGTTCTTTAAAATCGCGAGTCTTCTGGAAAGTCTGACAATGATGCACTTAGATTGAACCTGAACAGGCCACCTGTCCACCAGGACTAGATTTACCAGTTTTCCTAATAAAATATTAATATCATCACCAATATTCACGGTCGAGTGCGACCCTTGTTATGTGCTGGTATACACAAAATGGGTCACACAAACAGGGGGTTGTAATCAGGCACTATTTTCCCACATACTTGCTCTTAAACTAGAACTCTACCGGAACTGTCAGTGCAGTAGTGGTTGGAACACAGCCAGTTATTTTCAAACATGACCATACCATTTTCGGCAGTATCCAGATAGCCCGACCCCTGTTCGCGAACAGTTGTTCGCGAATAGTTGATTGGTTACCAGATCATATGACCGCAAATGTTATGAAATTGAATGGTATGTATGGTATATTAGATGCAATTAGTTACGACTAGCATAATTTGCCATTAATTGTAGCGTAGTAAATTGCTGGATCAAACTATTGATCACGGTTCAAATGTGGTCTCTCGGATATGATTAGTTACGAATAGCATTGATTGTAGCGTAGTATATTGCTCAGTGAAATAAATGATTATGATTTAAATGCTGTATATAAGTCTGATTGGCTGCTTGCAAACCCTTGTCCTCTCGGTGGCCCTGAGTTGTTGTCGAATTAGACGAAGCTAAGTTCGGAAAGAGGAAATACAACAAAGGTGGATACAGAGAGGGGATGTGGGTACTTGGTACAGAAACACAGGACAATGCTTCCTCCTCCCTTGTCCGAACAACAAACGTGGAGCAACTACTCTCCTCCCTCTGATCCGGCGGTGGATTCTTCCTGGGTCTATCATCTACACAGACGAGTGGGGAGCTTAAAACACGCTAACAGCGGAGGGGTACACACATGGTAAGTCAACCACACATACATGTTCAGGGATCCCTTAACAGGAATCCACACCAACACGCAGGAAATCCTCTGGTATCACGTCAAGAAGTCGGTGTTAGGGACTAGAGATTTAGTGTCAAGGGGTTAATGTTATTATGCAGTCATATGATCTGGTAACACGAACACCTGTTCGGCGAACAACTGTTCGCGAACAGTTGTTCGCCGAACAGGGGTCGGGCTATCTGGATACTGCCCGATTTTCTTGCGCCAAATCTAAGATATCACTTCTAATTTGATTTAGAGATAATGAAAGTTGGTCCAAACTTGCATAGGCCATAGATAATCGGTCTTATAGCCATTTTACTATCCTGAAAGTTTAAACAGAATCGTACGGTAGGATCTCGAGATAATTGACTTTCGTGAAATATCATTCTGCAGAACGGATGGGACGGATAGTTCAACTCAAAGCTAATTGTTAGAAGCAGTTACCGATTTTTTTGATGAGACTTGCTAGCGCAGTCGTGGCCTGGCTGGCTCAGGTGGGATTGGTAAGACCCCTGCCGAAGGCAAAGCCGACGATTATAAACTCTAGATAGCCCTTATATAAGATTGGTTAAGAAATATGAGTTAATGATCCAAATTTTGCCACAAATGCATGTTTGGCCCCCCCCCCACCGTATGTTTGCATTGACAATTTCAAATTCTTGTTTCATATCACACTCTGAGAGGGAAATGTTTATTATATGAGGAAAAAATAAATATGACTGTTGTTCAGAAAAGTTTGATGTTGAAAAAGTAACATATTTGTTTAATTCATATTTAAACGATACTGAATAATTTACTACACAACATTTTCTGTGAGATTTCTGAGAAACAAAAAAATAGCCTCTGTTGATATAAATAGTTTGATAATTTGGCCGATTAAATGCGAAATTCCGGGACAAACATCTCAGGTGTTTAATACATACATATAATCATTAATCACGTGTGACAAGTCTGTTCTAGACTAATTCAGTAATCCAGCTGATAGTCTCACTAAACTTTCAGTTTTATCGGAAATTTTGGGTTCTTTATATTTCCAATGGTAAAGGAAATAACTTTATTTTTCTGTGTTCTCCTTCGTTCGTACAGGAATTATGGTTCAGCGACTGCAATCTCTTCTTTTCCGTTCATTGGAATTGGAACAACCTTTTAAGAAAATTTTGATTATGTAAAATATTGAAACGTGACGCGAAATTAAAGATTCACTATAGGGAGTGATGAAACGGTTAGAAAATTGTACAATGTCCGTGTACATATATATTATATAACATGTATAAACTTAAATGCTAAATATATAGTGATTAAAATGGATACTAGACAGCTTATAAAGAAATACGACATTTAATGGCCATATTGAGCACCCAGTAAAAATCATTCCCGCCACCGAACCTGTTTCATCTGTGATCTTTGCCGGGATACCAACATCTGAAGTCTGAGTTTGTCTGTGAAGAATATTTTCCGCCACGTGTGTTCCGCTGCTAGCTGCTCGATCTGAGGAATAGGCGGGGTCATTTATTAATCATATCAATCAAACTTCTGGAAACTTCTGGAAACTTCTGGATCTCTCTGAGAAATTATATTTCCGTATAATATAAGTTAGTAAAAAACATTATAAAAATTGTCACATTTCTGGTAATCTGTTAGAAAACGTTTGCCCTGTCAGAGGCCCGGAGTTCTTGCTAATAACTCACAACGTGCGACCGTGCACTGCGACCCCCCACACAGCGACCCCCAACCCGAACAGATTAATACCAACAAGCAGGACACGATTACTTGACTGTCGAAACCAGGCAGAGTAGGGCACTTCATGGTAATTACCAGTTAGTCACGACACTCAGACCACAGTGGGTGGTACACCAGGTAGCTGCAGAACAACAAGCACAGACAATCTTCAGACCGACAAGCAAATGATTGGGTGGTAAACAAACAGCAGGTAGCAGGGTCACGTGATAAAGAAACAGCAGGTTGCTCAGTGCTGTGATGATGTCACAGTCGCGATTGTGGAGTGTTGATACGTGCGATTCACATGTATGATGGACTCAATCGCGATCGGAGGTAGCCATGTCGGGAGGCCTTTGAATATTTTTTGAACACAGCACTCAAAAATCATGTGGCGACAAACCCGCTGCACATAAATAATTTGAAATATCTTAGCAGTTTCAAGAGGCTATTGATTATTTCTGTTCTTAAGCACTCTAAAATTATGTGGCGACATATCCACAGCACATAATTAATTTGAAATATCTTTGCAATTTCAAAGGGTCATTAATTATTTCTGTGCTAAAGCACTCACAAATCGGGTGGCAGACAACTGAACCCAATTGAACCTAGTTCCCACGCAGTTAACAGGCACCCAATCAGCTTAATTGGGTGACCAATCAGCTTAAATCCCAAAACGACAACTGAACCCAGGTCATATCACAACTGCAACCAAATTGGAAATACGACAACTGAACCCAAGGAAATACGACAACTGAACCCAACGATCGGATTTTCAGGTTCTCCTTCTTCGCAGGGGACTGTGGTCATTATCACTATAGGATAGATCATGACCACTGTAATTTAGAGCATTGGAGCCCTGTGCTTACCCCGGTAAAATATTAATAAATACATGCTACATGAAGATTGAAAAGGTCTCCTCCTAGTCGTTGGAGTGGCCTGCATCACACACATCTCTTCTACGGTGTTCCACTCGTTTTACTGTTTTAGAGCTAACTGTTTTGCTGCGTCTCTGTTGATGTTATCGACACCTGTCAGTAACTAGCTTTGAAAGTTAGCCTTGTAGATACAGATCTTGATGGGCGATCTTATAGTTCCACTGTTTCATGTCTTCCAAAGCTGATGGAACGCACCATTAGCACGCTGTATACTTGGCTCAGGTTACTTGAGGAATACATGAGGTAGCCCACAAATCAAGTGGCGACATATCCACAGCACACAAATAATTTGAAATATCTTTGCAATTTCAAGGGGCTATTAATTATTTCTGTGCCGAAGCACTCGCAAATTATGTGGCGACAAATCCATGGCATATAAATAAATTAGAAAATATTTGACTGCAGCGAATTGAATCTAAAGTACCTGCATACACATATTTTGTGATTCCAACTTGATCAACTTTAAATTTAAAAGGACACCGAGCTCTCTGTGGGCATTTGACGGATCAGACATTTTAATTTCTGTCAAAGCAAATCCTGATGAGATTATCTAACACAGACCTCTGGAGTTATTTGTTTGTGATGTTGAAGGAATATGTTCCGCCACAAGTTGTCTGTCAGACAACACCTTCTGAACGCTTTAGAACAGTGCGCCATCGCTATCACGTCCTGAAAATAACGATCTTGGGGAAAAAAAGTTTACTAGATATCGGTAGTTGATCTTATTTCAGATAGTTTCTATTGACTGTCATCGCTGCACTGAATTAAATGGTCACTGCATGGTCACTGAGTAGTCACTGAATAGTAACTAAATAATCACTAATTATAGTCACTGAGTAGTTACTGAATAGTCACTGAATAGTCACTGAATAGTCACTGACAGTATAGTTCTATACAATTCCTACCTCGAGAGAGAGAAAGGAGGCAATCTGAACGAGAAGTTTCTGTGGTAACTTGCTTAAGTAGTCATTGCTTCTGTTACACAGATGTATTACCTGAAGTATATTGACTGATTATAGAGAACAATGATATTTGTAATATTCCACTACAAGGAACCATGGCAACAAAGATGCGTTTTATCACTGCTTGATGATAGTGTATTGTATTTTATTGCAATCTGCAATCTGACGAAAGTCTATGTTAAGGTCTTCATTTTCCTATAATTAATGAAACATAACGATAACTTGATATTAACCCAGAATTTTCCTGTATCGTTATTAATCGGTACACTTACTGAGCTTGGTGTCACAAAACCACGAAGAAAGCTGGGATTGGCCGTAAAAGTTTATTGAAATGAATGTACTTTATGATAATTGATAACATCCTTGAAAAATTACAGTGATTATGCCTCTACTAATTTATAAATTCTTTCCTCATTATATTTACGATAAAATATTGCTAGGCATGGGCAATTAACGAAATATTTCTAGTTATAAATATATATGTAAATTGTACATTATATATACGTATAGTACATGTAAATTGTAAAGTACAATTAATGTTGTATACAATAACATCGAGCAAAAATGAAGTAATCTTTTTAAGGACTTTTTTAATTAAAATTTGGTTGGCTTAAACTTTTAGACGCTTACAGTTACATTTGTAATAGACTGCTATACAGTGTTTTATTTACGAAATGTTCACTGATTTGGATTGTGGAATTCTCGTATTCTCTGAATCTATAAATAGATATAATCATTGATATCGCTGACATTAACATTTAACTCACGAAGATATCTTTCGTTTCGAGATCCCCTTATTTAGCCTAAATTATGGAACTAGATTAGATAACTCTTTGACAACTGGATTATAATATAACACATTAAATCCTTAAAATTTTCTCAGAATTAACAGATGGTATATTATAGATTCAAGTCTTTAAAGTATTCACTGCAGTATGTTGGATAATATCACTGATATTCTGATTTCTACCATGTCATGTACGTGTGTACGTGTGTACGTGTGTACGTGTGTCTGAGACGAAAGCAATTCTCAGCCCATGTTGGCAGTTGAATCTAGATAAACTACGATATCAATATAATATAATATATATGGTAATAAGTTACTCTTAATATATGATAATAACTATGTTATAAATAATCAATATCTCTCTACTAATTAATTAAGAGAAAGGAAGACACATTGTGGGTCAATCCAAAGTAAAACCACATTCATATAGTGTTCTTGGCAGGCATGTGGACTGATATTTATCGGACGTAAATCTAGAGCTCAGGTCTAAGTTGATGTTGTAAGGTTAATGGTAAAAGTGCCTGATCAGGGTTGCAGGCTTCTTACTGGGTAACCAAAAATTGCAGCCTAACTTGTTCCCACAATTCGCAGTATCATCCTCCAACCGAACCATAGAAAAGTACCCAAAGTTGAATAAGGGTGGTTCGAATGTTTTGTCTGAACCTTTGTTTTCCATGGCAATTATAAAGTACAACTTGAGCAGTTTTAAACTAACAATCGAGTAAACAGCTAACAATAAAACAGGGAAAAATTACAATTTTTGGCAACATGGAAAATAACATATGGAAAACACTCAATTCAACAGGAACGAACGTTCATTTTAATTGCTCTAAACTGCAGAACTACTAACCATTAACCAACAATACCTTCATAATAAGGGCAGTTCGAAAGGTTTGTCTATAATCTATGTATTATGTTAGGATGACGATATTTCAGATGAAAAGGAACGAAGTAAGGATGATTTCAAGTTAGGGCTCAAATTCTTTTTATACAGGAGAACATTTTAGCATACGAATTATTAATTAATTAAAAATCACACAAGTAATAATTTTATAACGACTATCAAATCGTTTTTTTCAAAAGATCTAGTGTCAGTTTTGTATCAGCTCGGACGATTCCAGTACCACTTCTCGTGACCCAGCAGACCAACTAGGTCTCTAAGATACGGTTTGAAGAACTCTTCCAGAAGTTCAGTTGTTTCTGGCAGAACGTAAGGAAGCTTGTGCTCATCTAATATCTGGTTACCTGTATCGTGTACCTCAAGAAAACTTCGCAACGTGTCCCCAGCAAATGGTGGTATCTCCAGGAAGTCACACAGATTATTGATGGAAGCAATGGGATCTCTACTGCGTTCCTCCATCTGGAGCACGTACACCTGATCCCGGGGGAACACCTCCATGTAGTCCGCTATATACACGTGGTACATACTTGCGTACAAATGGGTCGCTAGCTGGTGGGTTTCAGTGCTGTAGGTGCAGCCTCTTACTGTGTTATTCTTTAGACAGGTGTTAAACATCTCAACCGCCTCCACCACTAGATTGTGGTATTTCTCCGGAGTTATGGGCCTATCACAGTCATAAACTTGGCGCTGACAGAAAAACTGGTACGCTGATCGCATACGGCTTATAGGATCTCTTAGGGAGAGTATAATCTTAGTTTTAGGATTAAGTTTGGAAATAGTGTCTGCATTTGTGACTGGTGGTTCTTTGTAACCGGGATAAAACTTTTCCCAAAACTCATTATCCCACACGTAGGAAGGGGTTGCGTCCATGGTTATACCGTGATACAGGACATCTGTTCCTTCTATTTCTTTATAGGTTCTCATCAGTCTCTTTGCAATAATTTGACCTCCATAAACATAGCTCATAAGTGATTTCGGTTTATCGAACGGACGACGGTGCATTTTTATAGATCTTCCTCTTCTCTGTCTATCAAAGTAGTGCTCTTCTTTATCTCCATGAGAACTAATCAGTGGGTGTTTTCCGAGTATTTGGTGTAAATCTGTTGTTCCAGATTTTGTGAAACCAGCAATGAAAAAGTAAGGAAGGCAATACAATGTCTCCCGATCCAGTGCTTTACCTTTCCAACAAGGGTTTTTGAACTCTTTCAGGAATTCCTCTTCAGCCGGGAGAAACTTGAACATGTCCTCAGGATTCTCTGTAATCATCTCCCTGTTCAGAATTCTCCCATTAAGATAACAGTAGGTAGCACTACAGTTCATATTATTTATATCCCCAAATACAGACTGTTCTCTCATAACACCCATTTGTATCATCTCTCTGTAAGTGGGCATATTTTCTAAGAATCCAATATTCCGATGTTTTTCAGATATGTTGTTTATTATACTGTTTTTTAATGTTTCATGTGGAATGTCAAGTCTTGTAACTTCATTTTTCTCCGTCAAATTTCCTGAGATCGGAATAAGCGGTTGTTGAGCGTTAAGTTTATACTCGACAGTAGTTTCCCTCAAACTCTCACTCTTATGAAACTCAATGTTATGGTCCTCAGCATTACCTGATTTCCCTATGTCAGCTTGGAGCAAGACTTTTATGATGTAGAAACCAGCAATAACAAAGAGCAAAATATAAAGAACCGTTCTTTTCATCAAATTATTTGTTATCATTTGTTAGATAGGGTAGAGCACATCAAACCTGCAGGGGTTTAATTAGAGTCGAGACCTAACAGCTTGATCATTAATGATGATTATTTCCGTTATGGATCTTTCCAACTTTAAAAATGCTCCGCTATATATATTACATAGACTTTTATCTCGTATTCCAGTATTCCTATCTACCGCCGGAACAAAATTGACGATAAGGAACTATAAAAAAGTGGAATTTCGCCACGTTTATATGATACAGCTTAAAAAAAGTAGATATAGAACAAATTTCAAAACGTGCCACATAGAATAACACTTAACTTTGAATACTCTACGTCGCTACACGCTATGAGGTGTACAACAGTACAACCATTAGGTGTGTTGCTCTTTGAGAGCTCCTTGTTTTCTTTAGTGTGGTAATTACCTAACAGTGGCGTAACGAGGGGCCTGCAGACCCCTCCAATGTGACTAACAGTAACAACTAACACGGTACAAAATTAACTGCTAACTAACCTTATGCCTAACAAATAATTTGAGGACAACATGACACTTCAAAACTTTGAACATAACACGAGGAAATATGGACAGAACTGAACAAGAACAAAAACCACATTCAAAGACTGAGGAATCAGGAGGACTCTGCAACCCAGGAATCAACTACTTAGTGTGGTGATGGTTGCAAAGTCAAAGTAGATAATGATAAAGTTATTATAATTTGCATCCCATCAACAAATTATGACATTGTTTTAAAAGTGTGAAGCTAACATAAATTCGATCAACTGACATTATCTGTCGTAATAACAATTTTTGGGAGTTTTTCTAAAAAACTCAATCACATTCTATTTATAAACAAACATTTAAAAAAAAAATTAAACTTAAAGTGGCTTTTTGGTTATGTGGCTTTTTGATTACCTTACTCGGGAATATTATAGCGGGTTAATTTATGACTGGGAAAATTAATAACCGGGAAAAATATGGCGGAATTTCCCAAAACCCGCCAAATTATCCCGGTCATGTATTTACCGGTGGCCGACCTTTCAAGTTTTTTTTCAGAGGTCAACAAATTTTCAACCGAAATTTCTGTTTTTGTTACTTGTTAAAGAAGTTATTTCAATTTACAGTTACTGATATTACTCAGAAATGGAAAAAAAGACACGTCTAGTATTTAAAGGAAAATAAATCTATAGCAATAATAAGTCAAATCTTCATTAAAGCGTATTCTCATTCTCATTATCGCTAATGTCCCCTCCATTATCATTATTGATATCCCCCTGCTGCTGACCGTCAAACTCGAAGTTGTATTGTTGTCTTAACAAGACTTTCATTTTGTCCGCTAATGGGGCTACTGCTCTGAAGGTCAGCCGGAGCTTAATTTCCTGCCCACCGCTTGGTATTGGGGAACGTCTTGGCTTTGCATCTAGTCTTCAACTGCTCCAGTAATCAATCCACCGTGGACCATGAAATAGTGGCACAGTTTACTCACTTCATGGGCAAGAAAAGTGAGAATCACGGTCCACCCTGAAATCTGATTTCTATAACCAAATTGTGATTTTTATAACGAAATTATGGTAGCAACCGCCAATAAAGTTACAGCCCTCCATCCACTGCTTCAAAAGTCTTCTCTAGCACATATGAGACTTCAGGTAAAATATGATGATCACCACCCCCTTGGAACCCCATAATCTGAGTCGGCGGGTTTTTTTATGACTGGTAAAATTTTTGACTGGGAAAAATATGGCGGAATCTTCCAAAACCCACCACTTTATCCCGGTTATAATAATCCCGAGTAAGGTATGTAGACTGTAGAGTCTACATTTTAACAGAAATTGATCTGTTAATCAGATGATTAGTTGAAGTCCTATATATAATATTCATGGTTCAAACTTGTACACACAGTAGAATTACACTGATGCTTGACTTTCTAACAGACATGTAACAACTGAGTGGGACAACCTTGTTTGATCTAGGAAACAGCTAGTTTGTTGTGATTCAGTCAAGGCTGCACCAACGCCACATAAACATTATGTCCAGTTTAGGAGAATACTTTCAGAGAGGAAATTTAAAAGCTGTTCCTCACATTTGAAGAGACGCCCCACAAAGCTTGCTAGAGCGGTCCACAAGCAGCCTCTGTATATTTATGCCACTTAAAGTATCCTTAAGGGGGCAGGGGGGTCTTTTTAAAATTTTCCTCGAAATTGATTTTATAATTGTTTCTAATAGAGGGGAGTGATATCTATCTGCTGCTTTTAAGGGGGCCGGGGGGGGGGGGGGGGTCTTCATCAAAATTCTCTCGAAATCGACTTTATAGTTGTTTCTGATAGAGGGGAGTGATATCTATCTGCTGTTTTTGGTCCCATAGAAAAATATTGTTCCTAGCCGAAATTATCGCCGGTCAAAGGTCAGCGCTTATGTGTAATTGTACTGCGCAAGCGATTTTCAATCGCACGTTCTGAAAATCGAGTCTAAAAATCTATCTTCTCCTACATTTTTTGAGCAATCACCCTAAAACTTTCAGGATATGTTCTTAGGATCAGTTAGAAGAGAACTCTAGAGCCAGAATTTTGAGATAGGCCTTTAAAGATTTTTAATTCGATTTTGAAAATCTTGGACCTTTATTTTTAGAAGACCCCCCCCCCCCCGGCCCCCTTAATTCTATGGAAAAATATTGTTCCTAGCCAAAGTTATCGCCGGTCAAAGGTCAGCGCTCATGTGTAATTGTATTGCAAAGTAAACTACAGCATATTAGTGTTCAAGACAAGTAATATTGATATTTTCCACTCAATTTTCAGGGATTGGAGGAAAAGCTGAAAGAGTATATTGAATGATCAAAAGAGTGCATCTGGCAACAAGCACATTTGAAATATGACAAATATATTATATGGACTTAATGAGTATTTCAAAACGTACAAGTTTTCCCAAAAAGGTCCCCAAGTGATCAATGTTAATCAATCAAGAACGGTTTCAAAATGAAGTTCATTATTTGAATATGACCTCTGCTGCACAGGGGTGCCATGGTGCAAAGAAACTGCTACTAACTGCTACTAACAGCTACTAACAGCTACTAACTGCTACTAACTGCTGCTAACTAAAGTAGATATAGAACAAATTTCAAAACGTGCCACATAGAATAACACTTAACTTTGAATACTCTACGTCGCTACACGCTATGAGGTGTACAACAGTACAACCATTAGGTGTGTTGCTCTTTGAGAGCTCCTTGTTTTCTTTAGTGTGGTAATTACCTAACAGTGGCGTAACGAGGGGCCTGCAGACCCCTCCAATGTGACTAACAGTAACAACTAACACGGTACAAAAAAAACTACAATTATTACACCACTATAGCCCCCCGCCCCCCGGTTCACTGATACAGGCTTTACTACCATTTAATAAGCAAGAACAAAAGAAAATCGCGATTATTTAGGCCAAAAATGGTTTGTAGGGTAATGACTTGCTAGTTGGTTTGTGTGTACGACTTAAAGGTGGCGGCATGTTGCCAGCATTGTGGTATCCTTTGTATAAGTTTTTCACTATCACTATATTCGTAGAAATATTTCCTTTTAATTACCCTCAAAAGTTTTCGTCCATATTGTGTTCGAAAAGGTATGTTATAAAGTTATGATATAGATTAATTGTCTTAACAATTGATCAATGTTCTCGTTGTTCCAAATCTCACTTACAAAATTAACTGCTAACTAACCTTATGCCTAACAAATAATTTGAGGACAACATGACACTTCAAAACTTTGAACATAACACGAGGAAATATGGACAGAACTGAACAAGAACAAAAACCACATTCAAAGACTGAGGAATCAGGAGGACTCTGCAACCCAGGAATCAACTACTTAGCTATCGTCGCTCAATAATCGGTTTGGTATCGACGTTACATACTTTGATTTTCCGACTTTAAAGCCGACGTAAGAAACCAGGGAATTAATTTTACTTTCCTAAAATTAAATCGTTGATTTTATTTCTAAATCACTCTTTAAACATTTCAAACTTTTCAAACATTCCAGTACATTGTGCAGAAAGTTGGAGAACACACTTGCAGGTACCACCCGTATTCACACTCAGAATTGAGTTTAGTCATTTTCCGATACGAGATTGGGGACGGGTTCTATAAACAAACAAACAAACACGCCACTTTATCAACATCCTGGTCATTAATAAAGTGTGTATTTAACTTGAAACCTGCAATTTACAGATAAAATTTAATTAAGCTTTAACTTTTAAGTAGCTAGATTTAAGACTCTTTATTTGATCCATTACCGACAAGTTCTATATAACTGTATATATATATATATATAACAATATATAACTGACCTGGTCCTTGAGATCGGAACCAAAAGTTCGCTCTATCTCCCCCATCAATCTCTCATCATCCTCCACGTCCTCCCGAGCTATAGCCCACTCTCCAGGATAAACCACTGCTGAGCGACGCAGGGATATCTTCCACCATCTTAGAAATACTTGGAATCAGTATTAGCGGTGTTATTTAAATTAGAATCTTGATGATACTTCAAACTTAATTAGACAAGCTTACGATATATTTTCTTGTACATACTAGAAGCAGATAAGTAATTGCAGTTATGCTAGAAGTGTTTCAATGATTTTGACAGTTAATGAAAGTACACGGCAAAAGTTTGTGAAAATAACTATTTAACTATGTTACATTTCTTTGTCATATGCAAAAACAGCTACACAAGAATGTATAAGATTTTAACTGCTCTGCAATAAGCAGAGCATGAGCATGATGTGTGACGTAATAACCAGAAAGTGTGACGTAATAACCACAAAGTATGACAAAATAACCACCTCCAGATCACACCCTCCGTAGTCACAAGCAGCTGACAGTAGTCTTTACTCGGTGCTAGAGCCTGACCTGTCTTCTCCATCAACATCCAGGCATTGGCTATAAACCTCCTTCTTCTCTGTTCTTGTTTACGTTGATCAGCTGTGAGCTCCATGTTTTAGCCTTCACATAAAATAGTGTGGTGATGGTTGCAAAGTCAAAGTAGATAATGATAAAGTTATTATAATTTGCATCCCATCAACAAATTATGACATTGTTTTAAAAGTGTGAAGCTAACATAAATTCGATCAACTGACATTATCTGTCGTAATAAAAATTTTTGGGAGTTTTTCTAAAAAACTCAATCACATTCTATTTATAAACAAACATTTTTTTAATTAAACTTAAAGTGGCTTTTTGGTTATGTGGCTTTTTGATTATGTAGACTGTAGAGTCTACATTTTAACAGAAATTGATCTGTTAATCAGATGATTAGTTGAAGTCCTATATATAATATTCATGGTTCAAACTTGTACACACAGTAGAATTACACTGATGCTTGACTTTCTAACAGACATGTAACAACTGAGTGGGACAACCTTGTTTGATCTAGGAAACAGCTAGTTTGTTGTGATTCAGTCAAGGCTGCACCAACGCCACATAAACATTATGTCCAGTTTAAGAGAATACTTTCAGAGAGGAAATTTAAAAGCTGTTCCTCACATTTGAAGAGACGCCCCACAAAGCTTGCTAGAGCGGTCCACAAGCAGCCTCTGTATATTTATGCCACTTAAAGTATCCTTAAGGGGGCAGGGGGGTCTTTTTAAAATTTTCCTCGAAATTGATTTTATAATTGTTTCTAATAGAGGGGAGTGATATCTATCTGCTGCTTTTAAGGGGGCCGGGGGGGGGGGGGGGGTCTTCATCAAAATTCTCTCGAAATCGACTTTATAGTTGTTTCTGATAGAGGGGAGTGATATCTATCTGCTGTTTTTGGTCCCATAGAAAAATATTTTTCCTAGCCGAAATTATCGCCGGTCAAAGGTCAGCGCTTATGTGTGTACGCTGTTTAATATCCGTCCTGATTCGAGCATTTCTTTAAGTCCAAATAACACATTTTAATATGATCGTAAATTATTGTAAAGACCTTGAAACTTACAGCCCATTTACTACGGAACCTCCCACGGATTCTGTACCCTTATTTTAAGCTGTTTAGATTTAAGTTCTTGATATTCCGAGCATTCCAAGTGGTTAGTTTTGAATGGTCTTGACTGGTATTTTGATTGAGCCAGTCGGCTCATCTCCAGGTTTCACGATAAGGTGATAATTAACAAAGTTTTAGAATTATTTACAGGTTAATGATCCAAGCCTGCAGGAATTTAAATCAGACTTTCACGTGCGCTTATTTTAGAATTTTTAAAGTAATAAGATCGTGTGAAGAAATATGTTACTGTGGAGATTCGCACGGAGACAAGTTTATGCTGTTCGAGTTTTGTGTATTTGCAACGTGATTTATAAGACGAGTTTTCCCTTTGAAAGATAAGGAGGTTATCCCTTTGAAAGAGAAGGACGTAAGAATGTTTTGCAATATTGTTGTAGCATATGATTTATAAGACGAGTTTTCCCTTTGAAAGATAAGGAGGTTATCCCTTTGAAAGAGAAGGACGTAAGAATGTTTTGCAATATTGTTTTAGTAGCAACGAGATTTACGAAGACAATTATAACACTTTTAAGAACGAGATCAGATAAATTGATTTGAATTTTGCACGGAATTCAGAGACATTGATAATGATATTGTTACGATTCAGACACGTGAATGACGTCATGAATGCGATAAGGAATTATTTATAAGGTCGTATTTTCATCCAATAAGTGGCTTTGGGCTCTTAACTTTTAGGCTTCAGACCCTTAGGTCTTAGGGCTTGGTTATAGGTTCTTGTCTTTTGAGCTCTGGGTTCTTGTTTCTTGGGCCTTGACTCTTAAGTCCCAATGTTTGACGTTTTTAATTTTGTAAGTTCCAGTACTGAGGGTACAGAATCCTATACTGTGACTCATTTTGTGACAAGTAGTATTTATACTTTACTCCACTTCGCTTTACATTAGTTTACGAACTTGTCTCAATTGTCCCCCCCTCTATCTCGAAAATAAAGAAAAGCTAAAGACACCTCTGACCTCGCCTAAAACTCTCAACTTTAACTCCTTCTACCAAATTACCCCCTAAGCGCACAATTTGGTGGAGAACCCGGGCACTGAGTTGTACGCTGCAGTCTATTGGAACTCAGCCAACCGATCCCAAACGAGGTTATAATTTACTACATTAGTCATGGGAGATCCACTTGCTACATTAGAGTTGAAGACGACTTGGTCCTAATGTGGAAACTTCTTAGCCTCTCCATTACAGATTTCACAAAATTCAAGAATTGACACAGTCCTGGAACCCTTGAACCCTCGAAGATCTTCAAAGTCCTAGCCTCTTGGACCTACCTGGTACAACACCTGGAAACGAATAAGCAGACTGTGTGCCATTTTGACACAATAAAGCTTATCCATACAAATTAACGCAAAGCTGAAACTCCTAGTCAACACTAGATAACAATACCTTACAAGCACAACCCGATGAAACTAACATGCCTAAGTTGATGAAGCTAAGTTAGGATCCACATCTAACATTCTAACCAATTAGTTTCGTCCACCTGAAGGATTATGACTTTTACTTACAGAAATGTCAAGGACTGATATCTTATGGTGATAAAATCAACAAATGTGATTGTTCATCTGGTCGGGTCCCAGCTAAGAGTAGTGGTTCATTGCAAGGAGTTGCTGCTTTTGCTGATGAACCCGCAGCAAATACTCTAGCTGTGATCTACCTCCCAGAGACCCCATTCTAGCATCACGATGACCCTTGTCAGTTGTTACGTTGATCGCTACTTGCTAGCTTTAGTTGATAATAAGCGAAGTATAGACTTGTCGAATTGATTCGAGCACTCTAGAGATATCAATTAGAAGAACCTTGATATGCAAAGGAACCGGCAATGCTACTGAAAAGATCACCAATGACGATGAGAACCACAAGATATCTGATCCGATGGACGAAACTGAAAGGACGAAACTGATGTTCGGCACTGTTATGGAAATGGAAGCACCAACCAGCGAACCCATGAATGAAAACAATGCCCCGGACCTCTCAGAGACTGAACAACTTAGGTACAACCCCAGACCAAAAAAGGATATTTTTCGCTCTTCAAAGGTTAGCCCAAGCTTTAATTTGCATTGTTCGCTCCATCGTTTCTCAAGTCTACTCTGGCCAAAACTGGTCCTGTCTCCCTTTCCACATGAAATTTTGAAAGATTCTGAAAGACACTGAAAGACACCGAAAGTTACTGAAAGACACATATTACGACGGAAAGAACTATGAATGCCTATCTGGCTGGTTAACTCTACCAAGTAGTGATTCATTGACGAGGAGTTGCTACCATTAGTTGATGAGTCCATGTAGTAAATACTTGGAAGATTTGATCTACCTGTTGGTATAAGTAGTTTTGCAACGGCTGAAACTTTTAACTGTTTCGAACTTGATTACAAAGGTTGCACTTGATACCCATAAATAGTTAGACATTCCGATAGAAATGCTGATTTGAAAGTAAGAAAACGGGTCTAATGAATGTTGCTGAGTGCAAAAGTTCAAGCCGAAGCTGACATTAAATCATTCCTGAAAGATCCTCCAGCCCACTCCTCAGTTCGACAACAGAGGATAACTCACTGGTCGAACATGGACATGATCCAAAAGAATTGATCTCATATTGCAAATTATAGTTGCAGAATCACAATTTATGTAACAGGAACCCTACAGAAGGTATAACGATACCACTCTGGAAACTACCCTCTCACTACTTCTTCTTCACTCTATAACAACCCCCAGCAAGTTTTAGACAAGCTGTTCCTCGAAAAAAGTCACGGAAAAGACATCGGACAAGCTTGGAAGATTGAAACAAAGCTAACGAATAACTCTGCAGATTTCAGCCGCGAATTAAAGACACAGTATTTGATATATGAACTTGAAGCTCACTGCCTAATGCAGTTATGAATAAACATTGCCTCCTTAACTAAATAGATATTACATTGTAACTTTTCGTGATTATAAACCCGATAAATATGACATGTTATAATTATATTATCATCGATGATCGTAAGCCTTAAATAACGCAGCATGTGATTTAGACTTTAAGGATTCATAGAAACACTGCATGTAATATGATATGAGATCTGTTAGCTGTATCTTAACTGAAAGACTGTACAGAGACAATCAATCTTAGCATTTTTTAAGAGGGAAGTGTTGTACGCTGTTTAATATCCGTCCTGATTCGAGCATTTCTTTAAGTCCAAATAACACATTTTAATATGATCGTAAATTATTGTAAAGACCTTGAAACTTACAGCCCATTTACTACGGAACCTCCCACGGATTCTGTACCCTTATTTTAAGCTGTTTAGATTTAAGTTCTTGATATTCCGAGCATTCCAAGTGGTTAGTTTTGAATGGTCTTGACTGGTATTTTGATTGAGCCAGTCGGCTCATCTCCAGGTTTCACGATAAGGTGATAATTAACAAAGTTTTAGAATTATTTACAGGTTAATGATCCAAGCCTGCAGGAATTTAAATCAGACTTTCACGTGCGCTTATTTTAGAATTTTTAAAGTAATAAGATCGTGTGAAGAAATATGTTACTGTGGAGATTCGCACGGAGACAAGTTTATGCTGTTCGAGTTTTGTGTATTTGCAACGTGATTTATAAGACGAGTTTTCCCTTTGAAAGATAAGGAGGTTATCCCTTTGAAAGAGAAGGACGTAAGAATGTTTTGCAATATTGTTGTAGCATATGATTTATAAGACGAGTTTTCCCTTTGAAAGATAAGGAGGTTATCCCTTTGAAAGAGAAGGACGTAAGAATGTTTTGCAATATTGTTTTAGTAGCAACGAGATTTACGAAGACAATTATAACACTTTTAAGAACGAGATCAGATAAATTGATTTCAATTTTGCACGGAATTCAGAGACATTGATAATGATATTGTTACGATTCAGACACGTGAATGACGTCATGAATGCGATAAGGAATTATTTATAAGGTCGTATTTTCATCCAATAAGTGGCTTTGGGCTCTTAACTTTTAGGCTTCAGACCCTT